GGATTCAACCATTCATCGAGTTTCACATAACACAAGGAGTAACGGCTTTTCAAAGAGTTCAGCTTATCAGGACTTCTTGTGAAATACGTTTTTTATATTACATATGTATTATTTACAACTATTGTTTGCAAAACCAAAGTTTCATGATCTGCCTTAAAGGTTTGTTTAAAAAAAATCATGTTTATTTTCTGTGTTTGATTTAAGCACACCAAAAGTTATATCGAACACAAATTGGATTGATGAAGAGCCCTTTAAAATTCACATTTTACGGATACTTACAAATTACAGTACAGACTGTAATATTAATATGGTTTGTAATTGTTAAATTTTCTTTTGTTTCTATCTGCACTTTTTATTTTTCATCAATAGAATTTTTATAGCTTAAATTTCACGTAAGGTTGTTTTTTTCAAATCCAAATCAATGATAATCGCCTGGCATGGCCAGGTGGATAAGGTGCTCGACTCGCGGGTTCGAATCCCCGTTCCACCAAACATGCTCGCCCTTTCAGCCGTGTGGGCATTATACTGTGACGGTCAATCCCACTATTCCTTGGTAAAAGCGTAGCCCAAGAGTTGGCGTTGGGTGGTGATGACTAGCTGCCTTCCCTCTAGTCTTACACTACTAAATTAGAGACGGCTAGCGCAGATAGCCCTCGTGTAGCTTTGCGCGAAAGTTAAAAACAAACAATGTTAATTGGTGTAAAGAAGTGAAAGCACAACCTAGTTCAACTTTTCACAAGTTTTGTTATAGTGAGGAAAGTTTGTTGTGTTGAACTGTTTGTAAAAGCCAATGTCATTTTATATGTTTTATATGGATAGATTTTTTTTTACAAAGTTAAGATTTAAAAATTAATTTTATCTAATATCAACTATTCTACAGGAACATTATTTAAAAATAGTGTTTGGTTAATTATGTAAATATCACAATAGGTTTAACTGTAAATGAAAATAAAAACCTATGCCACTTTCAATACACACTTGCAACCTATATAAGTAGAAAGAAAAAAATCTATAAAGTAATAAACATATTTTAATGAAATCTTAATCATTTGTTCTATAAATTTGATACAAATTTATTATCTATTTTTATTTAAAAAAAGATGATGCAAATGAAGGAAGAGTACATAAAATGCAAGGGGAGTGAATGGGGTAAACAATTAAATGAATAATTCTATGTTTTATTTACCTTAGATTATGAACAAATAAATTTTTAATAAATGATCAATATGATAGGACACGAGACCAGTGGTCCTTTTTTGTTTTTGAAAATTTGTTTTGTGTGACAAGAAACATAAAGCTTAGGTCCTAAAACTTGGGAAAATTCTAATGTAAAAAATATATTAATATTTAAAGTGTTTTTGATGACATCATCTGTTAGAACTAATAGATGTATTGTTATAGTACAGCAGACATAAGGTATTATTTGTAAATAAGCTTCATGTATGATGTTTTTACAGTTTTGAAGATCATAGACTAGAGAGTTCAGTGGAACTGTTCTTGTTGACAATAGTTCCAGTTGAACTTGTAAAGCTATCAGCATCTTCTTTATTTAAAGTGGTGACTACAGTGTTTATGCTAACTTGAGTAATTTATGAAAATCTTTTCGTCAAACTGAAAATAATGTTTACAATGGATAGCAGATGATATTTGCTGAATATATATTAAAATATTTTAGTAGTAAAACTTGGAGTTCACTTATTTTGTTTATTAAAATAGTTTGAAATTTTTGTTCTGAGCATAATTTCGGTTATAAATACTATATGAAAATGTGTATGTAGCTCTTCTGGTTTTTTGTTGTATTTCCTGATACATAACTTCTGATGGTAGTTTTATGAGGCTATATTCTTTTTAAACGGTTTAATCAAGATTGTTTAATATATAACTCAAAATAATAAGTTTCCACAAAATTTCTTAAATATATCTTTTTATCGAAGCCAGCTACCTACAAGGAACAGCATTAAAATCTAACATAATAATGAACATAACTAATTTAATATACCATTTTATCTTGGTACATGCAAAGTCATAAAACAAAACTTTGCAATGATTAAAATGCATTGTTTTATCAGTTGGGTACCCTTACTGTCACTATTTGTGACTATATTCCCTTCTTATGTATTGCTTTTTTCTTTAAATAGTAGTAGTTTATTAATTTTATTATATTTTAAAATTCATAATATACTAACTAGGTGTATGCAAAGTCATAAAATACAAACTTGTAATGATTAGAATACATTAATTTATCAGTTGTATGATATTTTTAGCTATAATCCCATCTTATGTTTCACTTTCTTTCAAGTGGTAGTTTACTAATTTCGTTATCTATAAAAATTTAACAGTGATATATATATGTAACAAATATATGAAGTTAAGTAAATCATTGATATGTGTTTCCCTAAGACCTTGTTCTATAACCGTGGTTTGTTTGTACTTATTAGATATAGAATTAGACATGTTTTAAAATTACTCTGAGGTAAAAGTAACCGATTATGGAGATGGATAAAATTAAAGGAAACACTGTTTGTATGTTGAAATATTTAGTTTAAATCTTAAATCACTGTGTTGTTCTGTAGCCCAGTTTTAAGTATAATTTAATCTGCAGTGACTTTTCACATTGAAAAAGAAATTGTAATTTCATAAATATTTATTATATGTAAATATAATTGTTACAGCCATGAATTTTGTATTTGTTGAGAAACAAAGTTGACTTTAAAATGTCTCATTTTTACATTTTGATTCTACAAACTGTTCTAATATAGATTAATGTAAAGTCTTTAGAATACATTGTTCAATAAGATACTTTCAAGAAATTAGTTATGGTGTTACCAATCATCACTTTAAGTTTACCGAGTTACAATTCTACTGTTTTATTGCCATTCTGTTTTGTGTATGTATGAATTGAATGGCTTTGAGAAAATTTAATGCATTGTAGAAGACTGGCAACAGTAAGACACACAAGATTACAGAGGGTTATGCTCGTTATATTAAAGCAATGTTTGATATGCAGATCAGCAAGTCACATGACAACCACAGCTGATATAAAGTCACAGTGGAATGGCATGTCTCAGTTATGCATTTTGACACCGGCATTTCGTAGGTAATTTGATTCCACTGAAAATTGATCACTTTTGTGAAAGTATGTAACAGCCCTTTCCAACACAAAATATTCATACCCTTAGGTCATGGAGATGTGTTCTTATCAGGGATTAAGATTTTACAAGATGGCTATAATCTTTGTACTTTATGACTTTGGAAAACAAAGAAATATGAATTAATTTGGGGAACTAGGAATTTCAAGAAAGAGACTTGTAACAAGTCATATCCCAGCTTTGGAAAGTAAAATGCAATGTATTGTAACTTGTGAGAATCCACAAACACAATGTTCAGTGGCAAAAGCTGTATGTGCCTTAGGCAACAGTTATGTGTACACAAGCTGCTTTCTTGGCATATCTGTTGAACTCTTGCATACCTCAACAAGTTGGAGAATGAAACAGATATCCATGCAATTCATATGAAGATATATCAGTCATGTCACTGGATGAAGAGCCTATGGATTTCTGTTCAATCAGTCTGTTGAAACAGGCATTGGGAAACTCATCCTTATGTACTAGACAGCTTATGGAAAGCAAGTTGGGAACAGTTCTGTGTTTTGGACATGACAGCTTTATGACAGAGCATTTTTCAGTGAAAAATATGCTGCAGGGCTTATTGTCAAGATGCTCAGTCGTGATAAAGCATGAACAGATGTGGTGACATGGACTGTAACAATGTGGCGAGGCTCCAAGTTTGTTTTAATGTAATGTACTCAACCTCTGTGCATTGTTTAGATTACAGTATAGGTATTTTTGTATCTACTTGCAATTTTCATGAGGGTGAAATATTGTACATACTTATAAAAGTAATCTACATACTGGTATTGTCTGCAGTTGTAGATGTATTTGTAAAATTTATTTCTGTTAAAAAAAATGTTTAGTACTGCATACTAAAAATTAAAACAATAAGCCCATTAAACTTCAAAAATGTAAAAAAGAAATATATAATTTAATCTTAAATCCATAATTGAGACTTTCAACATGTTGAAATTGTGGTACATGATTTTTATTTTTTGACAGCAGGGATACAAAATATTTTCATTGGATTTCCCATTGGAAAATGAAATGAAATAAAATGTTACATATTTTCAATCACAAATCATAATTTTAAATACACTTTGTTAACAGAATCAGTGTTTTCCAACAAAAATTACTTTCAAGTGGTTTAATTGATGACTTAGGTTTATATAATGATAATTATTATGCTTGCCTTTTATTAAAAAATTTTTCTTCCTCACAAAAGATTATTGTATCTATGCTCATCAAGTTTCGTTTGTAGTAGATATATGCACTTTAAAAACAAGCTCAAAGTGTGCATGTATAGGTAATTCCTGCCTGTAGTTGCATAATAATACTGTACTTTATCATGCAAGTAATCTTAGGTAAGCAAATAGGCTGACAAGACTAATGCTATAACTTTTTCACCTCATTAAAAACCCTTTAAATAAGTTATTGTATTGAAATTTTTGTTGTTTTTACAAAAGCAAAATATCTGTTTATAATTTGAATTTGCAGTGTTACAGTCAGTAATCTCGATTTAAAAATAGTGGATATGGAAGTCTATTCTGTATATTTTATGGTTTTGCTATAAAGATTTCTTTTTATGAAAACCAATTCGACCACAGTGATATTAATGATTGACTTATTGACAGGAATAAGTATTTAGAAAGCTTCATGATGATGTTGACTGAACATGAAAATGCCAGATCACTTTCATTTGATTGAATACTGTATCTTCCATTAATAGCACCAATAAAATATGAAAATATTCAGTCTTTTTGTGAATTGGTTTTTGTGGCTACTTGCATTACAATAATTTTACTTTTGTACATACACTATATCTTTGTATTGTGTACTTCTTTGTACAGAACAAAAACGTTATTATTATTATTTCTTATATTTTCTTAGTGCCAACCCAGAACAACTCCATGAATTTACCATGGACTCTGTCAACCAATCAGAAGTTTTTTCACCTACAGGTAAGCCCAGAATACTTGCGTTTAAAGACGTCACCTTCAGTGCAAGTAACATACGAGTCAGCAGATTACTATGATGAGAAAAACATGTTACTTGTATACTTAATGATCAAAAACAACTCTTGAAAGTTATTTTAAGAGAATAATTATATTAAAGTATTACACATTTTACTATTAATTTAGTAGTGTACTCTTTTTTTTTGTATATTACATCAACAGAATTATGTATTATAATTATCTGATATGCTTGGTGTTAAAAAAGTTAAAAAGAGTTAAAAAATTGCATTAAGATAGCAAACTTTGCTTGGGTATTAACAACAGTCCATGGAGAAGTCCAGTATATTTGGTTATTAGCTTTTGTTTTGGTTTTGTCTTGAATGTTTTATGCTTCTTACATTCTTGGGAGTATTAAATGGAATATTTTGACAGAGTGATTATTAAAATATCAAGACTGTTAAAGCTTTATCTTGTGTTTGATCATGCTAGATTAATCTTTTTATTAGATAGGAATGTACATGTACTATAATATCTTCTTATTTTAATATGGATATTAGATATTACATACACCATGTACATGTATACTCAGGGTCAGCCCAACATAATATTTTTTTTAGCCAAATGTATATCTTCCTATATCTACTCAGAGTTCTTCCTAACTTTTCACATAAGAGGCCTAAGTTAAGATTGAAGAAGTCAAATGTGTGGTGGGGTGGGGGGGGGGGGGTGCTGTTTAGACCTCCTTGCATGCAGGTCCAGGGAAACACTCTAGTACAGGTTGGGGAAGGGTTGGCAAAACCCCAACCAAAAACAGTGTTCAGTAATTTTAAGGGATTAAGAAGGCCTCATCTGTAGTCTTATTCTATTTTGAAATATCTGTTAGTAATGAATATAATCATAGTCTAGCTGAATGTTTAGAAAAATGTTATCAAGTTAAAAATTGTCAACAATTAATACAGGGTGTCCTAAAATGCATATACCAAAGAGAAAGTTGAATAACATTTTTATTACTTGAGATAACAACAAAATATCTACTGAAGACTTGCAAGTTTTATTTTATTTAATTAATAAACTTCTACATGTTTTCCACCATTAGCAATAATCAATCTAATTAGAACACATTTTCCAACACAACTGTAGGGATGATTAAGACAACATCATGGATAAGAAGTTTTATTCCTCAAGATCCCTTGGTTTGTTATGGTAAACTTTTGTTTTCAAAAAGCCCCAAAGATAAAAGTTTAAAGGGGTTAAATTGGGGGAACTCTTCAAGTGTTGTCATTTTACTCAAAACACAGTCAATTCTGAGATCTGAAATAAAACACATTCATAAATAATAACGATAAATGATTTAAGTATTAAAAATAACAATTAACTTAAATAAAACTTAAAAGGCTTCAGCCTGTTTGACCATAGAAACTTATGAAAACAAATAGTGCTGCTTCACTGTCAAACACTGAAAACTTACAGATTGCCTTCCTTAAAATCTTTACTAATATTAATTCTTCTCTGTCAAAAACTAAACATTTACTTGCTTAAGTTTCAATCATGAATTAAACTCTTAAAAATTACAACTAAACAATGACAAATAAAAAATGCTTTCAGGTGAAAGTCTGTCACATGTCTTTCTGAGTCTGTCATCTGCTGCATAATTTGTGGTTTCTGCAACTTTCAGGTATAGGTTGGACAGGTTGCAAAGTTATTAAAAGATTTCATGGACACTGAAGACATGCTATTAGTGGTAATATCGTGAGCTAGTCTCCTGATGTTTCTGACAAACACAATCTTTCACATGTCATACCAGTTTCATGGATATTGAAGACGTGCTATTAATGGTAATATCGTGAGCCAGTCTCCTGACATTTTTGTTTTGACAAACACAATCTTTCCCATGTCATACTAGTTGTGTAAGGTCCCCTTGAGTTTAATGTTTTTTGTGTGAACATGAAGACCAGCAACTTGTTTATATCCTAGGAACCTTTCCCAGTCAGGATTAATTGTTTATATCCTAGGAACCCTTCCCCCATCAGGATTAATTGTTTATATCCTAGGAACCTTTCCCGGTCAGGATTAATTGTTTATATCCTAGGAACCCTTCCCCCATCAGGATTAATTGTTTATATCCTAGGAACCTTTCCTGGTCAGGATTAATTGTTTATATCCTAGGAACCCTTTCCCCATCAGGATTAAACAAAAATATTTCTTACTGTTTCCTTTTGACAAATTGTTGGTAACTACACCTTATGTTCTCTTGTTTCTTTCTTTCTCTCTCATTTTTTAACCAATAGTTTTGTACTCATAAAAATGATATAATTTGGAGGACTTTGTACTTTTTCATTTGCCTATTGTATATTATTTATCTGAAATTTACTATATTCTTCATTTAGCTTCAGAACAGTATTTTAATATACACTTGAAATGATGTAAATGTCACATTTCTTTAATCTGTTATTGCTATTTGAATTTGCTTCTTGTTTAGATTATATAACAGTTTTAGGCACAACCTGGCGAAGGGCTTTGGTCCAAATCACTTTCATCATTTCTCCATAATTTTAATGTTTTCCATCCATCAACTATTGTACATTTTGGACAAATAACTTTTTGTTTACAATTTTAATGTATCAAGACATAACTTGGCTAGGAACCAACATAACAAACATTCCCCAACATTGAGAGGTTATGGTTTAGATGATATTTTATGGATTGCATGTCTAATGAAACCATGGGTTTTGATTCTATACTTAGATTGTTTTTACAACATGATTATGCCCAAATAAGCATAAGATTTGTGATAAAAATCACTAACTAAGTTAAACTTTCTAGTAATGTAATAATTTTTTAAATTTATGTATATATATGTGTGTGTGTGTGTATAAATGCGAGAGTTATGATTTATATAGCACGAGTGTTAAGGTTAGCTATTTTCAGAAACGATAGTTTATTGCTAGCTTATTAACGCAACCATTTATGAATCATGTTGTGTAGTTCAATTGTTGTGAATTGGTGATTGTTATATTATTACATCATGTTATTAGAAGTTCGAGGATATTGTAGATGAAACCTCAACAAAACTTAAATGGAAACAGTCGTGTACGTCTAGCAAAAACTCAAGATATTACTTTTATTTTGTTCAAATTTTTTACTCATCTTTGTTATACAAATATGTCAGCTTACAATACATGTGATCTTCCTTTTGTTGACAATTTCTAAAGTTTAATTTTAAATAGAACTACAGTGATAATTCAGAAATGAAGAACACTGTTGAATATTTTAGGCTATAATTTACAATAAAAAAAACTTGCAGCCCCCCCCCCCCCCCCAAAAAAAAAGGATGTAATTCCACTTGAAATTAGACTTTACAAGTATGTCAAAATCATTCACTCTTGGACCATTTGAACAATTTACAGTAAAATCTTAACCATCAAATTTTACCCTTAGGATGAAAATTTAAAAACAGTTCAAGTGAATTAGTTTTAATGACAGAGTTTTCCTTACACAATCCTTTATGGTGCTTTTGAATTGGACCATAATAATTCTATATTGTCTTGCTTTGTGCTTAGTGGTCATAACTTTTTTCAGTTGGAGTCAAACAGATACTTTCAGTACTAATCACTGATGCATTCAAAGTTCTACACAATTAAAATCATCTAACAATAGAATGTTTTTGCTATTAAAAAAAACTTGTTGGTACACACAACAACAAGTTGCATTTATTTCCATGATACAGACAACAATTTTACAACTAGAATAAATATACTTCATATAATCTTACATTTACAAATATGCAATCTCAAATTTGAAAAAGAAATGTGAACTAGTCTAATTCATGGCAACCAGTTCTTACAGAAATCACTGAATTATCTGTTCTAAATACTATGTTTTGGAAATAAACTGTTGTAGTAGGAAAATATATTAACTTAAGGAAATTTTAAGTGCCTCAATTACGCTTTGATTGTAGCCCAAGTAAAGTGGAAAAAAGCATGCAGGATGTTTATTCAATATAGTGGATTCCTATTGAATGAAACTACACTTTATCAATTTCTTAATTGAAATTGAACAAAAATTTAATATTTGTATTTACATAGCAAAAGAACAAGAAATGTTTTGTAAATGATTGGAGAATATGACCAGTGCAGTCATTGGCTAAATGGAAAGTCTGGAATGCTTAGAATCAGCTAGGTACTCTATAAACTATCAGTTGGGACCACTTTGGAGTTAATAGATACAGTCAAAATGAAGAGGGTTGTAGGGTATACATTCATCAAAAATCTTGTCATATTGATCTTGTCTATCAGTAGTTTTTGGCAAAGTGGTGAACAGAGTGGGCAAGCCCTGTATACTATTGTGTGAGAAGGGAAGAATGTATTAAAAGTCTTAATAGCAATTAGTATTATGTTAACCTGTTAGCTCAGTTGGTAGAACAATTGCTTGTAATGTGAGTAGTCCTAGGTTCAAATCCTGAATGTAAGAAATATAAAAACTAAAATCACTGAAACAGTATCTATTACATGTCTTGGATTTATTTTTTACCAGTTCATATCAGTTGGAGTCTGAATTTTCATGAACTTAAATTATTCTGATGGTCATTCTTAATACATATATATAGATAAGAAATGTATTACAATGTGACAAATTATGTATTTAAATTTACTGCTTACAATGAAAGTTTCTATGTATTATATTTTAATTTCTATTATTATTTTTCTTTAGCAAGCCAAAGAGGTGCCATTCTATCCCCCGTGCGAGCTAGAACAATGAAAGAATATGATCAGGTTGGTTACTTCAAGTTACATTTATTAGTTTTCTCTTTTTTCTGTTACCTTTTGTATTTCTGAATAATTCATGGTTATTTTATTCTACAACCATTCGAGGTAAGTATAAAACATTTGTATATGTTTTAGATGGTGAGAAATGCTGATGGTTTTAAATGTTTCATAAACCAGTTTCTTGTTTCTTATCACTGCTTTTTGGTATCTACTATTTTCAGTTTACTGGATATTGATAAGAAAGACATAAAGCTGATTCTTATTAGAAAAAGAATTTTTTGTGTTAAGTTTTGGGTGTAATTACTTTTTCCTTACTCTGAAATGTATATCAACCTGAATGTGAAAGAGTCCTCCAGTATTTTGTTTTGATTATCTCAAATAAACATTTGTATTATTGAAACTTTGTCAAAATTGTACTTTACAACTAAGTAGCTCTTGATGCTATGTGCTTTTCTCTGTAGTTTAGAAGACAAAACTAATTGTATAGTATAATAATTTATAAGTAGTGGAAATGTTTGCTGTATTTTTGTTTGTTTTATATGAAGTATGATTTTGACAAGTTTTATAAATATTTTGATTTCAAACTTAATTAACTTTTTACAGCACATAGCAGACCTCCGGAAAGAGAATTTTAATCTCAAATTGAAACTGTATTTTTTGGAAGAGAAGATGGAGAAAAAATATGATGGTGATAGTAAAGAGCTCCATAGAATTGTGAGAATATTTCTTGAACTTGTCAACATAAGTTGTGAATATATTGAATATCTATTTATTTATAGAATTTTTAAGTTCAGTTTCATTTTTAGAAAAAGAATTGTAGACCTGGATTCTGAATTCTCATAATTCTAAACTACATCTTGGAAAGGTTTTTTTTAATACAATTAGCCTTTAAATATGGTTGACAATTATTTTAAGATTATTCAAGTAGTGAACTTATTCAGAGCAGTCAAATGGTCATTGGGATATTTTGTTTTCTAGGAAAAGTGACTTTTTTATGACTTTTCCTCACATGTGGCAAAAATAGAATACTAGTGTTTTTATAAAATATTTTATGTTAATGAAGAATAATTATCAGCAGCCATGTTATTTAAAACTGTATTACCATGTTTGTATAGAGAGAAATACTGGAGCAAGATTTTGTGACAAATTGTTAAATTGAGTTAAATTTCCTACTTGAATTGAATTTGTAAAGAAATTACTAGAAATAGAATATATACACAGTGTGGTGAACATATATCTGTAAGCTTTTTATTTAATTTTAATTTCTTACACAATTACATATGACAAACTTTTAATACACTGACTTGCGATAGGGATCTATTAATAATCTACAGATGCAATGTATGCAGTCAATAATGAAGTATGACTTACCATAAATGTATTTCACTTGCATTACTTGTTACTTGTCTTTACATGTATAAAACTGCAGATTCAGTTTAGCCTAGTTAAACTAGAATGTAACCACTTCAACATAGTTATACTGTTGCTAAAGTGACTCTTTTAACTCTTTCAGCACGGGCTTGGTCCCTGGGACCGACCTTGTAACCACTTTGTGCTTTTTACAGTTTTCATGCTATAGCTTTTAGTAAACGAATGCTAACGAAATTTGGCAGATTATCAGTAAACATTACAATGCTTTCATATGCAAAA